TCCGGAAGAGGCAAAACGACGATTGGGAATTTTGGCTCGAAAAATGGATAGTAACAAGGATGGCTTTGTTTCCGCCACAGAATTGGAAGCATGGATACAGCGGTATGGTAATCTTTGGTTTTTTGATTTCTCGGGAAACTGATGTTTCTTCGTTGTACTGCTTCTTGGCAGCTGTGTAGAGCTGCTGAAAACTTATCCATTTTGCTTTGTTTCGAGGGATATTCCAACGCATAGGCGTTATTGTGATGGATTTTCCCGTTTTTCTTCGAACAGCGTTTGCTTGTCCCGGTATTTTTTCAGCATTAGGTAAGCATGAGAATCGTTAGCATTTTATCGTAGCCTAAAGTTGACTGCGTTTTGGGCGAACTGGTAATATACAGCCCACGCCGAGAACTCAAAACGGACGAAAATCTTTCTAAGTGTCTCATTTGAGTGGACCATAACACGCGAAGGACGGAGGGGGATTGCGCGACTGTAGGGGGGCGCTGTGGAGCACTTACCCAAACCGATAATAAAAGCTTTGTTTAAAAAAAAATCAAGAAAAACTCACAAACTGCAAAAATTTTCGGCAGCAATTCCAAGCTCCACCGGACAGTAGGAGGCGGAGGAGCGGCACAGTTCTTGTGACACAAAAAACAATCACTATTTCACTTCTAATCACAGCATTACGTATCAGAAAGGGGAGGCTGACATTTGCATATCACATGGAAGCGAAGGACAACTGGGCAAGTTGGAGGGGTTTAGCCACCAACTTCGTTTCCTTGCTGCTAGCACCTTCTTCGTTTTGTACCAGGACCGCTAAGGTGGTAGTTTCTTTCAGTAACGAAACACTTTAGGTCGCAACAGGCTGACAACCAAACTGCGCAGTATTGGTTAAAATAATGAAAAATTGCCGGCAGTGTGTAGTTGGAGAAGCATATCTAATAATTAGTTGTAAGAGAACACGGCGATGAGTGATATTTGTTTCCAGCAATATGTTATCGCTGAATTTGGAAGAGTCAAATGAAAGATTTCAAGAGATCGATGAAAATCGAGACAATTATGCAACTTGGGAAGAATATGTAAACGAAGCATTCGGGGGAATCGATCCAGAAGATGAAGTGAGCATTTTTGCTTTTTTTTTTTTTCATCAGCAAACCAAAAAATTGTTTTTTCCGAGTATTTTTTTCCCAATTTCCTGTGTCATGCATTTGAGCATGAAATTCTTAAAAAAAAATACCTGGAATATTAGGAACAGCTGTGAATTTTTACAGTATGGTCCTCCGCCTGGGGAAACTGGCAACCCTTCCATTTATCTTCACTGATGTTGCTAACGGTTAGGGGGCTGTACTGATGATCCCCATCTCTAGCCATACTTTGTACTGTCTGTGTTTACAGCTAAGGGATAAAACACAGACAGATCACCCTACATATATCGTGAACATGACTATTTGACTTGTTAACTGGTTTGTTCCACGTCAAAAACCCAACTTTCTTACCCGGCACCACCCTCTATCGAATTCTATTTTTCAAGCCTTGAACCATAGGGAATTCAGCTGTGCTGAACTTCCTTCAGCTTGTACGGTTCTCTACTTTATACGTTATTTTTTGGCCTATCTACGGCCGCAAATTACCACAGCACATCTACCACAATCCGGACATTTCTGCTTGGAATGACTAATTTTGGCTGGGCTTCCATGGCCTTTCTCTCCTTTCTATTGCATTGCCTTGTGAACAGAACGTATAAGCGATCCTGACAATTCAAACGTTTTTTGCTTCCTCTGAAGGAATTGTTAGCTCAGCGACTGCTTGGCAAGGATTTAGCTGTTCAGAAAAGTTCTTTGTATATAAATGCATCATCACTTCGCTCCCTAATTTTGCCACTTCTAAGTTCTGTAGAAATTTTAGAGATACAAACAATGAATATCCCTGGCCAGAAGCATGGAAGAGGACAGAAGCCTGAAATAGTCTGTGTTTTAACATATGCAGTTTGTTTGGCGTTGCTCGGCCACCGTTGAGAGGAACACAGTCGAATTTTGATAATTAATGAAAAATTGGAATTGCCACTGAGCATGCCTGTTTGTACTTTAACTTGGTAGCTTGCCTGTGTTTCGTTCCTGAGCTTTAAACACAGATGGCAGAATCGGTGCGAAATGAGATAGAAATCATCAGTACAGTACCCCCATTTTACCCCAGTGAGGTTCCGTATTGTCTGTGAGCTTTTCGGCGATGCAGTAGTAAAATTTTTGCATTTGCTGTGATAGAATAACATCATTTGGTGATCCTGTCATTTCTCTTCCTGCTCATTTCGATTTTCCATCCGGAGGGTATCCTGGGCGCATCGAATTTTCTCGTGTGTGTTTGTGTGTGTGTGCATGTGTATATGTATGTATAGTGCTCCAGCAACGCTTCATAATGGCCGTCTCTCGTACGGTTAGATATGCCAAGACGTTTGTATTGGTGTGTCTAAGCACGTCGAATTTTAATCGCTAAGCTAACTGAATCTGGTTGTTTTCATGATGATGTAAATGAGATTTCTGTGAGCGATTTTGAAAATTCACATTTTAAGTTTTTGAAGTGTTTTTTTGTGAAATTTCTTAAAAAATGGCTCCAAATCAAAAAATGTTTTTACCATTTCATCAGAGCTGTATGCATTTCTTTTTACCGAACTTGTTTCAACATCTGATGATTAATTTGCAGTGATTACTGGCATTAATTGCAATCTTCGAAAAATACAAAAAAAGTGTTTTATCAAAAAGTTGTTAATGTTTCAGAGTTTGGATGTTGAAGACAAGCGTTTGTTGGAGGAAGACAGGATGTATTTCAACGCAGCCGATCAAGATAAGGATGGGAAATTGTCGATGACTGAATTTGAAGCCTTCCAAAATCCCGAATCTTTCCCGCACATGCACGAAGCATTAATTCAGGTGAGGAGGAAGTGTTGCTTTTATCGTAAAAGTGGAAATTCACGAGGTTACACACCTTATCACAGTTCTAGTGAAGTAGCAGTTAGCACCACTTTGGTATCAAAAATGGAGGAATCAGCTTCATAGACGGATCCAGGGCGATCTGCTGGAGGAGGGGGGGGGGGTGGAGGGGAGGAAGCGATTTTTCT